AGAGTGGATGCTTTTGAGTTGTGGTGCTGGCGGAGAATGCTGAAAGTACCATGGACTGCTAAAAGAACTAACAGATCTGTCCTGGAGGAAGTGCACCCGAAATGCTCCTTGGAAGAGAGAATGGCCAGGCTTCGTCTCACCTATTTTGGTCATGTTGTCAGAAGGGACCATTCCCTGGTGAAGGATGTCATGCTTCATAGGGTGGAAAGTCGACGAAAGAGGAGGAGGCCTTCAACGAGATGGATTGACACGGAGGTTGCGATGATGGGCTCAAGTATAGCAGGGATTGTGGAGCTGGCACGGGATCAGGCAGTGTTTCATTCTGCTGTGCATGGGGTCGCTATGAGTCAGAAACGACTCGACGGCACCTAACAACATGTTATGCCCATTGAGCTTGATGTCCCCTGTGACCATGATCCCAAGCCCACAGGTCCACCTACTCACTCCCTCTGGGTAGTGGGCTGTGGCCAAGAGGGGACTACAACCTTGTTCTTTGTCAGCTCTACTATATACCTGGGAATTCTTACAGACATACCAATACACTTGTAGAAACTTTGCCGACCATATACATGGGCACACTCCCCCCTACATAGACATACCTAACAGTTCAGCCTGTCCATCCATCTGTCCACTCAATGTTTGCCTTCCCTGGCAATGCAGTACCGTATGTGCAAAAGGATTCATCTTTGTTGTCTGTACCTCCCATGCACCTCTCTCTGTCTTCCTCTTCTGAAAACGTGTTTTGTCCTCTGTAACAGGTGAATAAATACATACACCTCATGGAGCTGTTGGGAGAGTTAAATGAGATTATGTATGTCTGGTACTTAGCACACTGCCTGGAACATAATGAGACTCATAAACTGGAAGCTAGTGCTATTATTTTTGCCATCTCTCACCAGCACTTAAGTAAGGCTGGGTATTTAGGAGACCTTTAATACTTCTTTTTAGAATAAAGTAGATTCACAATCAACCATATGAGACCAAAAGGACAGCCTGTGCCCAGGAATAAAGCTCAGAAGGCAGGAACGGATAGGAAAGGATGACCAGAAGCAGTAAAAAAACAGAGAGGAAATAGGAAGAGTGCTGTTACATTGTAGGGATTGCAATCAATGTCACAAACTGTATATGAATTGTTCAGTGGAAAACCAATTTGCTCTGTAAACTTTCACTCAAATCACAATAAAAAGTGAAAATAAGAAATAGATTCTGAAAACTCTGCTCTCTGCTCATTCAAGTTTAGAATTTTTTTTCTCTTCTCTACTCATTCGAGTTCAGAATTTATAACAAGTGCACAGAGCACGTGCTCCTGGCAAAAGGCATCGCTTGAGAACACTGAGCGTCAGCCTGAACCCACTGCAGGAGTGAGACTTCCAGTCCTCTAAGACTTTGTCCCTTGCCTCCCTGTGAGGTCACCCCAAAGTCTAGCCCTTGTTCTGAGGGGATGTCAAGGGGGAAAATCACGGCCCGGACGTTCTGAGTTTCCATGTGAATGTGTGTGTGAGTTGGTGTGTAACTGGGGCCACATGCCTGGGACAATCTGGACCTCAAAGGAAAGGCCCTGGACACCCAGGAAGCTGGGATGCCCACACTCCCCTGGGTGCAATTTCCTGCACCGCCGAAGATTCCATTGAAATGTGTTCTATTGATTTTACTTAAAGCAAAGGCCACCCTTGAACAAAAGTCAAGGCTAAGCAGAGGTTCCCTGCTCTGGCGGAGGCTGCATGCATAGAAGGCCAACGCCTCCAAGATTCAACCAAAAGAGCAGGTTTCTTTGAGTCTAGGTTCGAAGATTCTTGTGTCATTCCTTAAGGCTTACCGAGGCTGGGTCTGGGCCAAACCCTGTGCTGGGTACTGTGGACCTGGTTTCTGCCCTTAAGGAGCTCTCTCTGTCTGGTGGAAAGGGTCAAGAAAACAAACTTGGCAAAGGTATCACAGAGGTATCCTGGGCCTATGGCCAAGGAAGCATTTATTTTGCTCAAAGGAGACAAGGAAAAATACATAGTGGACAAACTCAGAAGCTAAATGACCCCTGCTATGTGACCTTGAGGGAGCCCTGGTAGCATAGTGCCTAAGGCACTCGATTGCTAACCAGAAGGCTGGCGGTTCAAGCCCACCAGCCACTCCTCAGAAGGAAGATGGGGCAATCTACTTCCATAGTGATACTGCCTTGGAAACCCAAGGAGGGGTCACTATGAGTCGGGTACAACTTGACGCCATATAACAACAACAACAAGTGACCTTGGGCAATTCCTTCAACTTGAGTCTCAGTTTTCTCATTTGTAAAATGAGGAGTCCGACTCGACAGCACATAACAACAACAGCAACAACTTTTCCAAAAACCAGCCAATAAAAACCCTGTGGATCACAGCAGTCCAAGCCACAACCAATCATGACGACAGCAGGACCAAGCAGCCTTCTGTTCCATTGTGCATAGGGTGGTCCACAGTCGGGGCCGACTTGAGGGCAACTAACAATATTCCCCACCTCGAAGAGACTGTTGTAAGGTTTAGAAATAATGCATGTGGAGGCTCACATCCTAAAGAGGGGCCCAAATTATTTCTTAGAAAAGGTGGCTCCTGGTGAGTGTTGGAGGATGGGCAGGAATTCACCAAGCAGACCAGGAAGGAAAAGAGGCCAGACAGAGGGCAGGTGCCACATGTGCAAGGGGTCAGAGGCTAACAGGGTGGAAGGCGCAGCTGAGGTTGGCTAAAGGCCAGGCCAGGCAACTTGGACTCAATTCGAAGAGCACTGAGGAGCCATAGTTGATTTCTGAGCACAGGAGGGCCAGGATCACATGTGTGGGTTAAGATGAAGTATTCTTCTGGCTTCAGAGCACAAAATGAGTTGCAGATTCTCAAAGGGGGCAAATGCCAGTGAAGAGGAACGGTGACACTGGCTGCTGGCCCACAAGTGCTACCCGTGGTGAGGATGCTGGTGCACAGCACTACAACAGCCTGTGTGGGACAACAGGCTCAAGGATCGAGGTGGTTCTTGGATACACCATGCTACGGGCATTCATTCTTTCCCCAACAAATCTTTACTGTGTGCTGGACACTCTCCGGACACTGGGGATTCGGCAATGAACCAGACAGACAAGGACATGGGACTCCCATACTAGTTGAGGAATGGATGCCTAATAAATGAATACGCGTGATATATCACACTCACATTGCTACAAAGAGTGGTGATTGTTACCTTTCAACTGAGAGGGGAAAATGAAGGATTCCCGATATCTACCTAGGAAGGAGAGCTGGCTTCAAGTCCATGGTCTTTCAGTTCCTGGAAGCTGCCAAGGACACGGTCAGGCCAAGAGTTTGCACATAAGGTGCACCTTCCAGTTATTGCCACAAGGCCAATTCATTCGTTATTCATTTCATAAGTATTTGTTGAGCATCTACTATGTGCCAAGCACTATTCTGGATGCTGAAGATACAGCAATGATCTGGGCAGACATGATTGGACTGTCAGGGAAGCCACATGTTAAACAAATATACAGCTTTAACTGGTGTTATATACTAGTCCGGCAGGGGCCCTAATCTTGGTTTCCCAGAGAAAGTGACATTGAACTTGACACCTAAAGTCTCAGGAGTTTGTCACAGTGACAGAACAGCAATGTGCAAAGGCTTAGAGGCAAAGAGAAGTGGAGGACCTGCCAGTCATAGATGGGGGGAGACCCAGATAAGGGGGTGCAGTCCACAGGAACTGGACTAGGAGGGCCTTTCCGGCCATGCTGAGGCCAACCTCAGGATTCTCACAGCTCAGCCTCCAATGGAATCCCTACCCCATCTTTTCACCTGCTCTTCAGGGCCAAGCCCTCTGAACCTACAGTGCCTCTCCCTCCAAATGAGAATTTTCTCGACCATCACAAGTGGCTCTTGGCATCACTTCCCAAGAAACATAGGTTCTGGCACCAAATCCTGAGCCCCCGGGAGATAGTTGGTAAGCTGTCAGTAGCCCTGAGTTAGTGCCCTTTTCTCCATATCACAGAAAGGGAAACTAAGGCTCTCAGAGCTAAAAGGTAGCTACGCTTTTTTTTTTATTTTATTTTTATAAACACCCCAGTGCTCCCCAGTAGAATATGGGGAGCTCCATCCTTCCGGACATGTGAGAGAGGATGCCAAGGTTCAGGGAAACGTGAGGATTTCAGGGTTCTACAATTGCTGGATTCTAAGAAACACAGTGAGAGCGAGCCCAGGAGACTCTGGTCTTGGGAAGGTGGTGAAGCCCGGAGACTCAAAAGCCATCCATGAGCCCCTGGGCTCCAGCTCCCGAATCTGAGCCGCCGACGGGCCTGAGGACAGCATCCTGACGCCCCCCAGTGGCCAGAGCCCTCAATGGCCGGAGGCTGAGTCCAGAGGCCTCGGTGGGCGGGGACCAACGGACCTGCCGGGGCGGAGGCTGGAGGCTGGAGAAGGCGGGGAGTCTCAGGTACTTCCCCAAGCAAACTTCCTCGTCGTCCGCGGCGGCGGCGGCGGCGGCGGCGGCGGGCTCGGGCGAGCACTGGCGGCGGAGCCCAGAGCCATGGGGTTGGCGCGCGACGCCATCCTGGAGGCGCTGGAGAACCTGACCGCCGAAGAGCTCAAGAAGTTCAAGCTGAAGCTGCTGTCCGTGCCGCTGCGCGACGGCTTCGGGCGCATCCCACGGGGCACGCTGCTGGCCATGGATGCCATAGACCTCACCGACAAGATGGTCAGCTTCTACCTGGAGGAGTACGGCGCCGAGCTCACGGCGCTCGTGCTGCGCGACATGGGCATGCAGGAGTCGGCCGAGCGGCTGCAGCAGGCCTCGAGCAAGGGTGAGCGCCCCGGGGCCCCCGGCGTCCCTTCCGCCCCAGCCCTCTCCACCTGGCACTGTTCCCCTTTCTGTTCCTCCTACTCTCTCTCAAAAAAAATTAGCTCCTCATGCTTCCCTCTATCTACTGGGTCCCGACCCCAGAGACTGCAGGAAATGCTGGGGGACGGGAAGCGAACGCTTGACTCATTTCCTTACAGGCCCTGGCGCCATGCCAGTGGCACCAGCCGCGGCAGCACGTCCAGCCCCCCTTCAGATGGCGGCCAAGCCAGGTGAGGACCCCAGCTGCCCCTGCCTGGGTGTCTCCCGCCCCTCCCCGTGCACGACCCCGAGAGCAAGGCTGGGCCAGCTCACCTCCTTGAGCCCGGCCTGGGGGGGGCGGGGAGCAAAGACACCCACGTTACACCTCCACCTGGAGTCCTGGTGGGTCCCGGGGTTACCCCAGGGCTGCTCTCAGGAGTTTCTGAAGCAAGCAGAATTCAGCAGGGCCGAGACCCCACGCACACCTACCCCGGGTGCCGGCTTACATGCTCTTTCCCACCCCCAGGACTGCACTTCGTGGATCGGCACCGAGCAGCCCTCATCACGCGCGTCACAGACGTGGCCGGGGTGCTGGATGCCCTTTACGGCTTGGTTCTGAACGAGGAGCAGTACCAGGCAGTGCAGGCAGAGAGCACCAATGCTCTCAAGATGAGGAAGCTTTTCAGCTTCACACCCGCCTGGAACCAGGCCTGCAAGGACCTGTTCCTCCAGGCCCTGAGGGACACCCAGCCCTACCTGGTGGCCGACCTGGAGCAGAGCTGAGGCGTCTTCCCAACAGTTGGCCTCTCACCCAACGCCTTGCAGATCCTGCTGCATTTTTTTTATACACAATACATGACAAAAAGCTTGAACTTGTGTTTTTCCTACTTCTCTAGCTGAAAGCAGACTCAGAAAGAACCAAGTTCAATTCCGAAGGTTGCACAGACTTGGGTCAGAGCATCAGCTGCCCAAGCCATGTTCCCTCCTTCCTTCCGGCTTCACAGTCACCACGGTGTATTTCCTCCTCATCCACCATTTGGTGGCCTCTCCAGTGCTACCCCAGGGAGGTATCCCATGAGACTGCAGTTTTCACAGCCCCATGGTGCACGCAGGTCAAAGCGGAGGCCTGCACACAGGGCCTGGATCCAGCAGGCTGATTTGTCAGAGGCATTTAGAAAGCAGACTAGTCTGCATAGCTTCTGCTTTGTCCATGGACAAAAATAATTGCTGAATTAAAGCAAAAGAGAGGTTATTATGTAAACGTACAAGAGCACAACCCACCAACCACAGTTCTAGGGTTCCTTCCAGCACTGAGACACACACACACACACACCCCATGCCATCAAGTCGATTCTAGCTCATAGTCATCTCCATTGGGTTTCCAAGGTTGTAAACCTTTACAGAAGCTTTACAGAAGAATGCCTCATCTTTCTTCCAGAGCACCTGGTGGGTTTGAACCACCAACCTCCCAGTTAGCAACCCCACCCACTAAGCCACAAGAGCTCCTTGGAACTGATAACCAGCAGGCTTATTTGCTTTATCCCACTCCACAGAGAAAGGGGCTACAGGCTACTCTGCCCAGAAAAATGCCAACCACAGCAAGAGCTGATTTTCAGGAAATGGGTTCTAGTACCTGTTTCTTCTCTTGATGGAGTATTTTGCCTAGAAGGGAAAACAGGAGTACTTTTCTACACAAGATAGCACTTAGGGGAACCCTTTCTGGAGGCTGTTGAAAGAACCAGGATCCTAAAGACTACATCCCGAGTGAAGTTTGCACCCAACCCTTTCCTGGCCTTCAGTGGGAGGGTGGTATGCAAACCAAGCAGGCACCAAGGAGACCCAGTATCCTCCGTTTAGGATCCAGGTGTGAGTGCGAGGTGCGTGGCTCTGCCATTCGTTCACAACACTACACCAGCCCACAATGAACAAGGCTCGTTTGTACAGCTCACCTAGGTCACACAACAACTAGCAAATGCACCACGCTCGTGACTCCCAGAGCCAGTCTCATTCCGTAAGGCCACTGTCATCACCAGGGCAGCAAGAGACACGAGTGGCTGCCCACAGGCTAAGATGTGGCCACTGTCAAGACTCCCCAACCACATGGGACTGCTGCTGACGCGACTTGGAGCTCCAAGCAAAGCCAAGCTTCCTCCACAGGGAGGATCAGCCCGATGTTCATTCCATTCTGTGAGCTCACCTTTCTTTAGCCAGCCACCCCGTAAAATCTGGAGCACCCCATTCCATCCTCAACTCCCTCAAGGATTTGAGTCTCGTCATTAGAGCCTCATTCGACTCCCAGAGAGCCATTCACTCTGTTCCATGAGGGCCTAACCATTTCCAAAACCAAAGCTGCCTTTCTTTTCCCATCTCTTACCTAACCAGCAGCAGCACCCCAACGAGAAACTCAACATAAATCTTAGCATCCTCCATACGGCCCAGATTTAGTCTGGAAGTCTTGTCTAGCTCTTCCAACTTGAAACTTTTTCCTTTTCAACTTCACTACCCCCACCAGCGACAGGCCTCCTAACTGACAGTCCCCGCCCCTAGTCTACTTCCAAGGGCCTGAGTGATCAAAACTGTCACTGGCTGGTATGGACCCTCATACAGTAGACATCTTCTCACAGTAGGTAAGATGTCTGGGCCTGAATGATCCTATCCGATCTCTTCCCCCATCACCCTCTTCACACATCCCACAGCCCTAGCAACGTCATCTGCTCACAGCTGGTGCCTTGCATATGCTGGTTCCTGGGTTCTGGGTATCTTGAAACCTCAGTACCCTCCCACACCCGTGGGCATGCCTTCCCCAGGACTCCAGCGGCACTTCCCAGAACAAACGACACTGTCATGGTCTATTTCCACACCAGACTGAGCCTCGTAGGAGACAGCTTTTCAACCTCACATTTAAAAAAAAAAAAAAAACCCAAACTCACTGCCGAGTCAATTCAACTCATAGCAACCCCTCCCCTTGGGTTTCCGAGGCACTATCTCTATGGAATTAGATTGCCCAATCTTCCGAGTGGCTGGTGGGTTTGAACCGCCAGCCTTCTGGTTGGCAGCCTAATGCCTTAGGCATTATACCACCAGAGCTCCCTCACAAGTAGAAAGGGACCAATAAATGATCACTATGTATGCTAGCCACCACGTGTCTGTCGGTCTGTCATACTGTGGTGGCTTGCATGTTGCTGTAAGGCTGGAGGCCGTACCACTGCTGTTAGCAAATACCAGCAGGGTCACCCATGGCAGACAGGTTTCAGTGGAGTTTCCAGAGTAAGACTGGGAAGAAGGAAGGGGCCGTCCACTTCTGAAAACCTGGCCACTAAAAACCTTAGGACAGCAGTGAAAAGCTGTCTAATACAGCACCTGAAGATAAGGCCCACAGCTTTGAAGGCGCTCAAAGTACAGATGGGGAAAAGCTGCCTCCTCGAAGCAGAGCCGACCTTAATGACACGGATGGAGCAGAACTTTTGGGACCTTTATTTGCTGATGAGGCACAAGTCAAAATGGGAAGAAACAGCTACAAATATTCATTAATAATCAGAACGTGGAATGTATAAAGTGTGTATCTAGGAAAACTGAAAGTTGTCACAACTGAAAGGGAACAGATTGACATCCTAGACTTTAGAGAGCTGAAATAGACTGGGATTGGCCATTAGGAATCAAACGATCATACAGATGGTCTACTATGCCAGGAATGACAAATCGAAGATAAATGGCGTAGGATTTGTCGTCAGAAACAACATTCAAGATCCTTCCTGAACACATCAAGCTCAAATGGGATGGATGATGTATTACACCAAAACATTGTTCTACATCCTACTTTGGTTGAGTAGCAAATGGGGTATTAAAAGCTTGCAATGGCTATCTAGCTGCAAAAATGGGTATCTCCTCATCCAGAGCAAAGAACAATGAAAAAAAACAAATACATGAAAATAATTAGTCCAAGGGACTAGTGGACCAAGTGAACCTCAGCCTATATAACCATGAGACCAGATCTAGATGGTGTCTGGCCACTGTCAACCACTCAGAAAGGGATCAGTACAAGAATCCTGGATAGAATTGAACAACAGTATGGAACTAAACTCAAAATTTAAAAAAAAGAAAGAAAAACAACCAGGTTTACTGGTCTGATAGAGCCTGGTGAGACCCCCCCCCCCCCTCAGACTATGGCCCTAGTTACCCTTCAGGTCTGAAACTGAACTCACTCCCATGGCTTCCAGCCAAACAATAGACAGGTATATGGGGTGAACATTTACACCAGGTGGATACACTCCTTAGAGTGATCAATCATGGGAGAACCGAAGGGCAGTGTTTACACAGTGAGCTGGGGGGGGGGGGGGGGTGGGGGAATGGCCAGGAACCCATAGGAAAGGACACAGAGAAGAGAGAACTTATACAGGGAGGAAAAGTAGGAAGAGAACTGTTACAATGTGGGGAATTGCAGTCAACGTCATGAAACAAAATGTGTATATGAACTGCTGTATGGAAAATGAACTTGCTTGGTAAACCTTCACCCAAATCACAATAAAAAAGAAAAAAAAATCTCGAAAATAAAAGATCTCTCTACCCTGCAGCACAACACGTCGGTGATAATATAATATCCTTACGCCTACAAGGAAAACCAGCTTAAGAGAGTAAATTTATTCAAAGTTACACACCAACCACTAAAGCCAAAGATGAAAAAAGTGAAGATTTTTACCAACTTCTGCAGTCTGAAACTGACCAAACATGCAATCAAGATGTACTATTACTTATTACTGGTGATTGGACTACCAAAGTTGGAAACAAGGAAGAATCATTCGTAGTTGGAAAACACGGCTTGGTGATAGAAAAGACGCTAAAAGTCACAACAGAATTTTGCAAGACCAACAACTTAATCCATTGAAAATACCTATTTTCAACATAAACGGCAGCTACACAAGTGGACTTCTCCAGACGGAATACACAGGAATTGAATCAACTCCATCAGTAAGAACAGGCGATGGAGAAGCTCTATTACCATCAGCCAGAATAAGGCCAAAAGCTAACTCTGGAACAGACCATTAATTGCTCATATACAAGTTCAGTGGAAGCTGAAAAAAATAAAACAAGTCTACAAGACCCATAATACAACCCCGATTTATATACCGCCTACACTTAGAGACCATCCTGAAGAACAGTTTTGATGCACTGAACACCAATGACCAAACCAAACGAGTCGTGGGATATCAGTAACATCACACACAAAGCAAAAGGTCATTAAAGACAGGAAAGGTCCACAACTTGTTGGAATAGAACTTCCCTGATACGATGAAAGATGAGAATATATCCATTCAGGAAGTCCAATGAACCCCAACAGGATAGACCCCAAAAGAAAATCACCAAGACATATCATCATCAAACTCACTAAAACCAAAGACAAAGAAAGAATCCTGAGAGCAGCATTGGAAAAAACGAAAAGTTACCTACAAGGGGCAATCAGTAAGACTAAGCTCAGATTTCTCAACAGAAACCATGCAGGTGAGAAGACGGGATGGTATATATAAAACCCGGAAAGAATCATGGGAGAAAGAAGGGCTGCTTATGCACAGGGAGACAGCTCAAGGCGCAGGAGCCCATGGAGGGATGGGCACTGGGAAGAGGTAACTGTGGGGAGGAGGTGAGAGGGGAGCTGTTGCATTGTGGGAAACTGTGGTCAATGTCATGAGACAAAATGTATGTGAACTGCTGTATGGAAAGTGAATTTGCTCTGTAAATCCTCACCCAAATCACAATAAAAAAGAAAAAGAAAACCCTGAAAGAGAAAA